TATAATTAATCCAAAAATGCATCAATTTCAATTCGGGACCTTTCCTATGCTAGTTCCTATTATGGCAATAAAACTGCATACTCAGTTTACTCGGAACTGAGTCCTCCGCAGTTCTACAAGCCTCAGACCAAACGTATAATACCATTCTTTGAGTCTATATTTTATATGACATTTTTGTCAATAAATCAAATTTTAAAAACTCATAACTAAGCCAAAAATGCATTAATTTCAATTCGGAAACCTTTCCAATGCTAGTTCTTATTAGGGCAATAAAACTGCATAATCAATTTAAAATGTTAAAACATGAAAATTTTTGTCGATTTTTCACAATTTTAATGATGTAACCCCTTATCATTTTTTGCAAAAATCGAAATAATTTTCAAAAATTTGTTTTCGACCGGACATAGTTATATCGATTCATCTGTTGATGCCGATCAAAAATATATATGATTTATGGGGTCGGAAATGACTCCTTCACAGTTTTACAAGCTTCTGACTAAACTTTAAGTCGATATTTATCTATATTTTATATGACAATTTTGTCAATAATCAAATTTAAAAAAAAATCATAATTAATCCAAAAATGCATCAATTTCAATTCGGAGACCTTTCCTATGCTAGTTCCTATTATGGCAATAAAACTGCATACTCAATTTACTCGGAACTGAGTCCTCCGCAGTTCTACAAGCCTCAGACCAAACGTATAATACCATTCTTTGAGTCTATATTTTATATGACATTTTTGTCAATAAATCAAATTTAAAAAAATCATAATTAATCCAAAAATGCATCAATTTCAATTCGGAGTCCTTTCCTATGGTAGTTCCTATTTTGGCAATAAAACTGCCTATTTATCTTTCCACCAGATATGCAAAGATTTACTTGGCAATTTATGGTGTTCAACAATACATAGCATTTATAGAGTCGGAAATGACTTCTTCACAGCGTTTCATGCTCCTGATTAGAATTATAATACCCTACAAGTGTAAGCCTAATATATGTACATATACAATGTATAACATTAACTATAGTCGTCTATTTGCTATTTTCAATCCTAAAATTATATAATGTTGAAAGTAATGTTCATGCTTCGTTAGAAATTTTTGTACTTAAATAACTAAATCGAATATATGTATATCACTCTTTAACATGTGGAATAATCCGCAATTGTAAGCATCCCCAGTTTTATATTACCCACCAAAAGCAAGAGTATCGTTCACAACTCAAAACGTGATATTTAGGAAGAGATTTGGCGACAATCATGGACACACACACAAGCATATAACAAGGACTTGCGTAGAGTTGCCCAGCTCATGAGGCTCTGAGCATTTCCCCGCCGCAATTGAGATTTACGGCCGCATCAATAAACATCAAAAAACATTCGCCCCGCCGGATCCGCGCTCTGAGCTTGGCCACCCTTGCTTATCGCCTTGTTTACGCATTTTAAGTACAAGATTGTTATGTGTTGATTTGCCTTAACCGATGCGTGCCCCGCATATGAGAAAAAGCCGCCGTCTGACGGGCTTTTTGTTTTTTTGTTTTATTTTATTTTATTATATTATTCCGTGGCGTATGCGTAACGCAAACTTCGTCGGGGTCTCCGAAGCTTGTCAGCGACAAACAAGTGCAAACACAAACACAAAGAGGGGCAAGTTTTAAGGCCGAGTTGCTCGCCTTTTCCCACCGCCTGCCAAGGATAACCACAAATCTGTTGCATACTTGCGGGCGCGCCTTTTAAAGTCAACGCGCTTTTCCAACGCTTCGCTGAGCATTCTCCAGAGACCGGGTGTACGGGTGATCTGAGGGTGGTGTGTGTTTGGTGTGTGGGTGGTGTGTAGGTGGTGTGAGTGGGTGCCGCACTGGAAGGACTTTGATTGACTGGCTGAGCACTGGCTGACAGGGAGTCTAGCCCACGATTGTGTTGATGTTGACGTGGGTTATGCTAACACAGCCGAATGGTCTCAGTATCTGATTTAAAACGGTGCGCACAAATTAAATTTAATTAAATGCAATTTACTTTCATTACCTCGCATTTGTATATTGCAAGCTGTCAGGCAACAAAACTGAAGTATTTAAGTGCGTTGCAAGCAATTATCGATTCAGATTTAAATTACAAACTAATGAAAATATTTTTAGGTATTTATTGGAAATAAGGCTTTAGTAATTATAGCATTTTCATGGTTGATAATTACTTATATTTAACAAAATATTATTTGAGGAGCAGATGTTAAGATAGCTCTTATTCTGATATACTTTAAAATTACAATAAAATGTATTAACAAATAATTACCAAGGATAAGATTAAAGCCACTTCGCAGTAGAGTTTGGTAGTCAATTTAATGAGTCAAATGCCTGGATGTTCTTAACGACTGTTCAGTTTTGAAATAATGCCAACTGAAAATAAATAGTTACTTTAAAATATTGCCTCAGCTCAAATAGAGAATAATTAAAAACCCAAACTTATTCTTTCATCTTAAGTATTTATTGCCCTTACCTTCCTTCAAGTTTCCTTTTAAAATGCACTTCACACAGACTGATGTTATAATAGTCGCTTTATCTTAGAATTAAGGCTCTTAACTTAGATATTTTCAACATAAGTTAAGCTCCCCTATTCTAAGACAAGTCTGACCTTGTCAATTGTTCATTTTTCTGCGATTCAAATGAGCTGAAGTTGCGCTTGAGTCCATTCGAAACTAAGGTAGATACAGATGTTTCTATTTTGGAATGCATGAAACACCTGATATGTACCTTGTTCTAGACTGTACTGATGACCCAGTCTGTGTCTTCTCTTCCAGATCTGCCCAAGTTCGGTGAGCTCCTGCAGAACGTGACGGTTCCCGTGAGTCGGGAGGCAGTGCCAGTGCGTGGTCGACAACCTGCAGACGTACAAGGTAAGTATGGGGATACCTGAAGCGATCTTCCTCCTCACTTTCCTCCAGGAGCCGAGAGCAGGGGAACCCCCAGCTTTCACTGGAGACCATTTGCACTTCATCGACCCAAACGTGGCTGAGTTTGGGCCTAGTTCTGCACCTTCGCGTGCCGCATGTCCGGATGACCCTTTTCTTTTTTTGGTCACGTCCTCGGGCCCCAGGACGCTACTTTGATTTTCGTGACACAGTAAAAGGCAAAAAATGGTGAATTGCTGAAACGAAAGCGGCACATGACACAAATATCCGATGGTATCTGCTCCGGTTAATATGGCCCATTGTGTCCAGTCGATGTTATCATTATCACTGTTGCGTGGAGGCAGACAAATTGAAAGCTAGTGAAATTGATGTCCGACTTAGGGTCAAGACAACCATTTCTCTACCTTATAGCTTGAATGCCTCGAATCGAGTTCCGGGGTGTTGGAGTCCGAGACGAGTTTGTTTGATCGCCAGAAAACGAAGTCGATTCGGCGTGACGACCTCAGTTACCGGTGATCAAAGCCAACTCCTCGGTCGCCTTCAGTGTTGCACTTTCCACAGCTGACTTGGTTTTGCTGCCACATTACAAGTGTCCCAGACCGTATAGCGATTCAAACTCAGAGCTATGCAATCAGGAATACTCAGAACCTGGCACAAAAGTTGCATTGGCACCTGCAGTTGCTTTGAACTATATTTCATAATACCCCCGATGACAAAGGCGCCTCGTGGAAAGGTCTTTGCCAACCCGAGTATTAGGAATATGGAACAAAATGGAAATCAATTTAACCTGAGTCCCCCCGGGTCTGGCCAGTTTCCACACTTTTCTACCATTTCTCACCATTTTCCACTATTTTTCCATCGGTTAGGCGCATTATCCAAGTGCTCGCTCTTCACCGCCGCGGCGACAGTTTCCCCCCGCTCACCGAGCCTCTCCTGGGCGTAATAAATGAGCTCCGGCCACGCCACTGGGGCATTAGCATGGTGAAGAGGAAATCGCTGAACGTTTTAGTTTTACAACTCAAATCTAGCCAAATATAAACTGCTTCGTTTACTCCACTATACACTCTCTCTCGTTCGGCTAGATTGCGTGGCTACGTGTCGATACACAGACCATTTTAACGATACAAAATCACGTCATAACCAAAAATCATCGCATGAGCATAACTCACGCCGAGAAACGTGCCTGGATATTGCGTATACGTGATGTAAAGGAGTCGGACAAAGGCTGGTATGTATACCCACTATCCAGATGCATATTCACATTTGCCTTTCAGCTTATCTACCTGTCGGCTGTCGAAGGATTGAAGTGTACTTTAATTGCCTCTCCGTTCGGTTCTCGGGGCTAACAAATATTTATGTCCTGCCTATACAGCACAGCCCCAGGCCCCAAGTCATAAGGCTCAAACCTGTCTAATATACATATCTCTTTCGCATCGTTGTCAGGTACATGTGCCAAATAAACACGGATCCCATGAAGAGTCAGGTCGGTTACCTGGACGTTGTCGGTGAGTATTCGAATCCACTTTACGATTGCGTAATGCCACAAACTCAACACTCGCTCCCCCACACACACACGCAGTCGGGGAAAACACTCGTAAAAAATGTTCGAGCGCAGGTGTGCCCTCTTATTTTTATTTATTTGCTAAACAATAAATTCTACAACTAAATCAAAGCTCAGTTTTAAGAGAGTAGCCATAGTAAAACAAATATGAAAGTTAGTTAATATCCTTTTCTGTACTAAATTAATCTAAGATAGAGTAGGAGTGTTATATCCCCATATAACACAGTAGTAATAATAAATAGTGCTAAAACATTTCTCCCACTGCAGGCTTACGCAATAAAATTGATGTATGTTACTCAGGGGGGGCGGCAAACTCAAATGAATTGTAATTTGTCTTGAGTGGCTCCCCAAACACCATCCGTACTGGGAGCCAGAACAAAGTTGCTGTTGATAGTTTTTCAAACTGCACTAATTGCTCGGCCAAGTGGCGATTGGAATGCAGAAACTGGGTTAGGCTGCCGACCAGAAACTGGCGCACAAACTTCTAACTGCTCTCGATTGGGTCTAATTGCGAGGAGGCGACGAGAAGGATATTCGGCTTAAGGCGGACTCCATGGCGACGGGCATTCGTTGGGAATTTTTCACTTAGCCAACACATTAGTTGGGGGCCACAGAATAGCGGAGAGCGAAAGGTAATGAAACAATTTACATGCTACGTGCACCTGTCCCAGCTTGTCCTATGGTCTCGTCCATGTCCTGGCGTTAATTATTCAGACGGCGTAGACTTCGGAGCGGCACCGAAAACCTCAGAGCAGACAAGACAGGACAGGACACGGCACCGGGGTGCGGGCGGTCCTTGCCCCTTCCGCTGGCGAATTTAAAATGAATATGCCGCCCCGTTTCGGAGCTGAGGTTTCGGGTCTCGTTTCCGGTTGCCTCGCACCATCCGCATAAGTAACCACTCTGGTTGATTGTGTTTTCATTGATGTTGAAATTCATTAAGGACCCCCAGGCCGACCGCCCCGATTATACACTGGGCGAAACGAGGGCGAGACGGTTGCCTGTTGATTGCTTTCGCCCAGCCATGTAAATGCTTCACACCCAACCGCACTAAGTCCCATAAGCAAAATGGCAAGCCGCTTTAAATCAGCGCGGCTTTTCCAGCTGCCGCTGACAAAGTGCGCGATTTCGTGGTATATACTTTTCATCGCGACCCTGCCAAGCCACCATCCACCGCCCACCACCCACAGCCCGTCGTCCTTTAGCCCGAGCGATGGCAACCAACTATTATTGTTGTCGTCGCTGTAGTTGTATTTGCCACACCGCGAAATAAGCAAATAGTCGGCAACGCGGAAACATTTAAGTTAGATATGTGTGCGTGATTGTATTTTATCACGAAATTCACGAAGATTAAGATAAACTCACATTATTTAGTAAAATAAATTAACTTAAAGCTTTAATAAAGTACTTAAATTTTACAATTGTCCAATTTATCCAATCACAATATTTTATCAGATACGAAATAATATATGTACATAGCTATTAGCAGCAGTATATACATAGTTGTTTGCATAAAGTTAAAGAATAAGCTGGTGAATTATGCAGACCGTATAAATTAGTATATAAATGGAAAATAAAGCTAATCAGTTTGTAATTCTATAAAATAACTCAATAATTCTATCTTAGTTATAACAACTTAACACTACATTACAGTTAAATAATTACTTTTGTTAAGCTATTTTCAAAGTGTACAAAATATATTCTTTAACTACTCAATTAAAACTAAAATGGTAACAGCTACCTAGGAAAATTTACATATATATAAAAATATTTAATAACATAAACTCCTACCTCTGAATTTGCTTCCATTTAATTCCTTGAGCTGCACTCGCCAACAAAATCAATCAGCAAATCCTTCGTCAGGTAACTGCAATTTTGACACTTTGGCTCTCTAGGACCAGAGAGTAAAATCCGACTAAAATGTTTTTTGCAAAAAAAAAGGAGAAATAAATTCCCAAAAAAAATACTGACCGAGCTGAAATAAATTGTGAGCATATTTTCGGTTGACATTGCCGAATTTGCCTCGTATTTTCATCGTTAAAGTTTTGTTGGCTTGTTTTGCCTTGTTTGACGGTCGGTTTGTTGTTCCTGGGGGCGATGATTGTTTTTATTTAACCGAAAGTGTATATATATGCATGTGGCTGCGTGGGGAAGCCAGTCAGGCATTGAATATTTTATAAAGAGCAATATGTTTCTCGGTGGCGTTTTGGCCATGGTTAAATGGGCCTAGGCTGACCTAAGCCGTGAGGTTTTCCAGCCAGTCCCGTGAGCTGGATTGTTTTGAAAAGAGCTTTCAAAAATAGAAAATACAAATAAAGAAATGAGAAAAATAACATATGAAAAAATATACATATAATATTTGAGGAATATTTGAAATGCGATTGAGGTCTTTTCCGATAGATGGATAGCGGCAGCTTTACGAGGGATTTTCTTCTCAAAAGCACTTTAAATTTCAAATTGATTCATTGTTTTGACGCTTTAAGTTTCGGTGGCTATCCGATAATCCCGAAATCAGTCGAAATCCTATCAGCCATTGCCGCCATCTCAATCCAATTGAAATTAATTTCTGCGTCGCCAATTTAATCACACATCATTTCACCTGATTTCATAACTTATCAGCTCCCGCTGCGCACAATGACGGCGGCTGAGAAAAGAAATTGCCAGACCACGCCCACCCAGTGGGCGCCCCCTCTTGGCCCCTTGTGCGACATGAGACGGGCCATTAAGGGAAAAGTCAACACGGGAAAAGCGGCTGGAGCGAAGCCTACTTTCCACGTTCAATTTGGGGCGGGGAGAGGTCAAAGTACATTTTGTAAAACATGCACATCATTGTTGGCATGAAGACTTTGAAGTCGCATTGTATGTGAGTCATAACTTGCCTTTTGGGCGGCTGTCCTGTTAAATGGAAGGAGCTGGCAAGGCAGTCAAGGCAATCAAAGGCAATAAAAGGAAAATCGAGTGCCTCCTAATAGAGGGAAACATTCCCGGAACTAATTGGATTTCTTGAAAAGGTGCCGAGAAAATGTTTCGATTGAAACGGAGAGTTTTCGTTTGTTTTTTTCCTTTTGCTAAAAATGTTTCTATATTTTCAGCATGAATAAAAACAGACGAAATATGACTGTCTAGTGAAGTTGGCTTGACTTTTAAGTTCTTTGTTTTTTCTTATTGATATTTATTAAAACTTTACTCGGACTTTAAGTATTGTTTATGTTTCTAAATTAAGAAAATATTAACTAAAGTCACTTATTTAACTTTATTCTTCTTTCCTTGAAATGTAATTACTCATAACTACATGTCATTTACAGACTACTTTATCCTTTGGCTTTAATAACTAAATGTTTTCCGTAATTAAATGTTGTTTTTGCCCGCAACATGCTGGCTCCCACAGCGTGCCCTCATTCATAATGTGACACTAGCTTTATATCCCGTACTCTCATTTTATTTTTTGGCAACCGAGCGATTTGCCAGGCGTAAAATTATAATTAAGTGTAAAGACAGGCGGGCAAGAGTTGCACACAGACACAAAGCGCTTTAGCTTTTCTCTGGCCAAATGCCAAAATTTGCTAAATTCGTTGAGCTACCTGTCCGTCTGCCATGGCAGGAAAAGGGGAATGGGAATTTATTTAATTGTGGCTTCTTTCTGAATGGGAATACAAGTTTACAGAAAAATTGCAATCCTTGACAACACTTTGTGCCCAACACAGTCTTGAAGAGCTTAATGAAAATGTCTCAATTAAATCCATCTCTTTCATGCAACCCACTTCATCATCAACAACAACAACTGCTGCTGTTGCACCTGTAACTGGCACTGGAAACTCCCACCTGTCTGACACCTGGCCAACGGTTCGCGCAAACAATTTGTTCGCCGGCCCACACGGCGTATGAATAATATGTTGCCCTGGAACTGGGAACTGTGGAACTCGGTATCGGTGTCTCCGCACACCACGTTGGCGCACGTGTTCGGAACACATAGTGCCCCCCGACATACTGGACTATCCGACCAGCACCGATATGGTAATACGTGAGGGCTCCAACGTAACCCTCAAGTGTGCCGCGACGGGTTCCCCAACACCGACGATAACCTGGCGCCGCGAAGGTGGCGAACTGATACCGCTGCCCAACGGAGCCGAGGGTGAGTGCGTGCCCGTTGAGCATTAAATTTCATTACAAAACATTTTAAAGTTACTTCCACTTCCACTTCGGCCGCAATTAAGTCGAGCCTGAGTGTTGTGTGTGGTGCGCTCGAGTAATAGCAAATCCAAACCCAGCAATTTGCTCTATTAGGGTTATTCTGGCGTGCAAATGGCTGAACGGTTTTTGAGTGGAATGTGTGTTGGGCTAATGGACCACCAAAGTGGGTTATACTGCATCTTGTAATCAGGATAAGATAAAAAAGAACATCACCTGAAAATCACACAGGGTTTGATTCAACCGGCAGAGCTATTGGATTGCGAAATTTATTTTCGGCTGAATACTATACATATGTTATATATACATAATAGTAGATGGTGCCGTGAATGGAATGGCAAACGAGTTTGCATGCAATATGAGTACGGCAAAAGAAGGCAGACATGCGGAATATGTGAGATTCGAAATTACCAGCGCTGCACAGGCATTGTCAGGGGAGTTGCTGCCACCGATGAAGGCTGGCAGTGCACTGAGGGAAAAAATTATGTAGCCGAAACTATGAATTTTGAGCCATATATAGTTCCAAAATATAATTAATTGATTATAATTCAGAAGAGTATAGAATCTGACATTATTATATTGATTTTCCACGACTTAATCTACAGAATACTTTGTGTAATTAAGCTTTATAGTTCTGCTCACATTTAATGTCAACACTGCGTATGAGTAATATTTGTAGCAACTCATAACGTCTAGCGTGTTCCTTAATTTTCCGCCGGTTAATACCCACATTTTCCTGAGTTATCTTAGTCTAATTTCTCTCAGTGTCCGCATAGAGTTTTTCCAAGTTGCATATATGCAATGAGAGCGACATGATTAGCTGCAGGAGAAACTTGACTTTGCAGAGTGTGTGTAAGAGCATTCTTCCTACAGGGCTGAGGTAGAGTCACTTGAATCTGAATCTGCATCTGAATCCAAATCTGAATGTGAATGTGAATGTGAATGTGAATGTGAAAATGAAGCCGGATATGGCGACGACATTCTGGCTTATAAGCAGGATGTGAGAAGCGATTGCTGCCATAGATTTAACCCATCGGTGACTTCGGTATTAATCGTATCCCATTGCTTTTTCACAGCCGTCGCCTACAATGGATCCTTCCTGACCATCGCCAAAGTGAACCGTCTGAATATGGGCGCCTATCTCTGCATAGCCTCCAATGGCATTCCGCCAACAGTCAGCAAGCGTGTGATGCTCATTGTGCACTGTGAGTATTTTTTTGGGGGCTGGGCGGGTCCCATCAATTTTAGCATATTTAAATATTTATAGTTCTGCGCCAGAGCACCGCATGGTGCAAGGGAGCCAGGAGCCAGGAGCCAGGAGCAGGAGCAGTATGCTCCGCTCCAGACGAAACCACAGACAGAGACACAGACTGCCATTGCGACGCACACGAAGCGCCACTCGAAATCTTGCCAGGCTAAATATGCCCTGCATTTCAATTTTCCCAGGGCGACCCCTTGGGGAGTGGGGTGCCGGAAAATGCTGTACACTTTTAGGTGCCATGCATAAAGCAAATAATTAAGTGTGTGCTCAGCACCCGACCCCCGGCAGCTAGTTAGCATTTTTAGAGCACTTTGCCCTGGCTCCCTCTCTGTCTTCCTAATTAAATAAAAATGAGAATGGCTCAACAATTTGTTGGGTAACTTCATGGCACATGTTTGAGCTAAAGTTTCGCCTTCGATTCCAACCGCAATTCGGTTTGGATCGGTTTCAGCTTCACTGCCAAAGCATTTTTTGTGGCTTTCGTATATAAAATTAAAAAGCAATTAATTCGAAACAATAAATGGCAACCGCAGCGAATTGCCAAGCGGCAGCATAAAGCACTAGAAAAACAACAATAACAATAAAGGATGGAATTTCTATCGATAAATGGGAATTCTTTGTTACCCATGTTCCCCCGGATCACCTGAACATTCCACACCTGACACAACACACATTCTAGCCTGTGTACCCTCTACATTTTTCATTGCTGCCACTGACTGCGGCATTTTACTGCTGTTTCACAGTTCCACCCATGATTTGGATACAGAATCAATTAGTTGGCGCCGCCCTCTCGCAAAACATAACTCTGGAATGCCAGTCGGAGGCGTATCCCAAGTCCATCAACTATTGGATGAAGAACGACACGATTATAGTGCCAGGTGAGTGTGGATATACCAACATTTTTACTATTTTAAATAAATTGGGAAAGTGTCTTAGGATGTGAGAGTTTATTAACAAATTTAAAGCCAGAAACTGACTTTATGAAGGACCTGTTACTACTCTCTTGAGTTCGCTCTTAATTTTCCTAGTTCAATTTCATTAGTGTCCGGTTTCCTTTGCCAATATATTTCCGAAAGGCCTCAAACGATGGCTGTGTCCATCTCCTCACTCGACCTCTTCAATCTCCCACTCATCTTCACTGAGAAATGGACTGAACGCGATGACAAAAAGTGCTGCAGAGCACAAGTGAAAAAGCGATGAAAAAGGAATAAACATTCAGTGGAACACTCGAATCCGCGGTGGTAGAATAACTGCGGCGGCAGGACTCTTCACTACACTCCACTACACTCCACTCCACTTAACCCCATGCCACGGCGTTGGACAGGAAGCGGCATCGTCATCGGCACAGGGGTCTACGGTGGACAAAAAAAAGTCCGTTTTCCCAGTTATTTTTCAAGTTGTTTTTTGCCAGGCGGAGAAAATGGAAAAAACTGATTGAAAATGACCTCAAGTCAGTAGCAGTTGCCGGATCTGTCCGGCAGCCGCTGCTTTTTAATGGAGTTTTCTGCTTTAGTTTTGAGCGAGTCCAAGGATTTCCCATAACCACAAAAAAGGAAAAACGTTACTGTCCAACCAAAAGAGAACCATGGACTATGTCCAGCCTACGTTAGAGTTAAGCCAGCAAGTGCGCCCCTCTGTTTCGCCCCCGAAACTCAATTATTTCTAATCAAGACCAGGACCTAGATCTCCATCTCCGTTTGGGCCATCACAATGGCATTCTGCTGGGGTAATCAGTCGCTTAACCGGCATGCATAACAATTACCGAACCTGGACGAAATGTAATGCTCGGCTTAGTGCTACTAAATCTAACCGACATCAAACGTAAATCAAAACCTGCATGACAAACAAAAACAGGACACTCGTTCCCCCTTCCGAGACCGAGAATAGAGACTTGTTTTTGTATAAATTAAAACGAACCATTTGACAGGGGGCAGCCGGGGTTAGAAAATCCTTCCCCACTCCCTTCTCCTCAGTCAGGACAAACTTGGGTCGGCTCCAGTTGGATTCATCCGATCCGAGAGCCATGCTGAGCTGACTTGGGCGAATGCAAAAGTTCTTTCTCAGTTAAATTACTTTGACAAGAAGCTACAGAAAATAAGTGGGACCAGGACCTGGCCCGGAAAAGGGGTTTAAGTTCGAAGCTGTGGCCGGGATAATGGAGCCTTTTTCTCCTTTCAGGTGAGCGCTTTGTGCCGGAAACCTTTGAGTCGGGCTACAAAATAACCATGCGCCTGACCATATGCGACGTCGACCTGCAGGACTTTGGAGCCTATCGCTGTGTGGCCAAGAACTCCCTGGGCGACACCGATGGCGCGATCAAACTGTATCGTAAGTATTGGCATAAGTTAACAATGGCCGAATGAATGAATGCCACAACAGTTCCATACGATGGCTATAACCGTAACTGTAACCATAAGCCAGAGAAACAATGGCCATAAGTCAGGGCAGCCCCTGGCAATTAGGCGCAAACTATTTGCCCGGCTCGGGCTTTTAATTAATTTAAGTCAATGACTCTGCGTGGGCCGACAGCAATGTCGAGTGTGTCTGTGCGTGTGTTTGCCTCGATAAATACCCAAGACAAAGGGTCAGTCGGGGGTCGAAGGTGACCAGACCGAGTCCACTGTCAGTGATTGATTTACGAGAAGCAAGAGCAGGTTAATGCCAGGCCTAAGCCAACATGCTGAGAGAAATTTCAGTAAAATCTGTAAAACGAGGGTAATATTTAATACAAGTATTGTTGAATCAATGGCAAAAGTTTCAAAGAAATTTCTTAAAATAAAGGAACTTAGTTCTCAAAGAATAAAATAAAATAATATAAAATATCAAGGCTCTATAATACTATATTTTACGTTCTGTGTATTTTGTGGTCCAACAGTCCTTGGCTTATGAACAGTACATATTCCATTATCAATACTGGACATTTAACAATGTATTAAACACGAATCAACCAATGCATTTTCCCATCCCCAGACATTCCCCAAACCACCACGATGACAACAATGGCTCCTACAGTATCTATCAACACAGTGCCCGTGGTTCTGGTGAAGTACAATAAAGGTAAGGCCTTGGCTCTTACCCACATTAACCATCGAATCCTTTCACATCTTCTGCCCCTCGCTTTTAGAACAACGCTACAACAGTGGCAGCAACCAGAACCAAAACTCCAACGGAAATCCTTACAACTTCAATCCCGGCAACAGTCAACAGAACTCGAAGTCGCAGCGCAACAAGGGCAATGGCAAGGGCTCGGACCAGGCATCCTCCGGATTGAACAATGTCTATGTGGGAGCCACCTCGAGTCTGTGGAACTCACAGGATCACTACTCGTCCTCCTCGTCCCGGGGCAGGGATCATCACCAGCAGCAGCAGCAGCAACAACACCACCAGCAGCAGCAACAGCACCACGGTGAGTAGGGGAATTCTCTGGGGGATTGACGGTTTTGCTGGCCCCTAAAGCCAGTTGAAGGCCAGCCGATTGATGGGGAATCCTTCCCTCCCCCTCTCCGGCGACATTGTAGCATACCATAAATATTTCGCCATTTATTTTATGTTTATGACAAATCATAACGACTTTAGCTGCTTGGCTTAAGGGTCTTTGGCATGTCGTTGTCGGCACTTGTTAGATACAGATACTTTTGGCTCAAGCTGCGAGGAAAGCAACTTTTGGTTTTATGGAGAGGATTGACTAGACGGTTACCTTGGAAAATAATAATAAAATACGTAGACCGGGAAACTTTCGGAAAACTTTTCCTAAAGACATTTACTTAACTTACTGAATACTTATTGTATTTATCCTGCAAAAGGATTACGATTGATTCAATTGAAGACAACCGATAGCCCAGCATACCCTTTCTGGTATTCCGAGAGTGTATTAATATTTGGCCAAAACATATGAAAGTATCTTTGAGTATCCCTCGTCCGTTTGTCTGTGAGTCCGCCTCTTTTTGTCGCGTTGCCAGTGATAATATGACTTTCTAGCATGCAAGGGGAACCACTCCTTTTGGCCAGTTGCTGAGTTGACAATGTGTCCCCCATAATGTGCTGCTAATGCGGACCATCGTAATGTACAATCATCATAAATAATAAAGGGCTTTCGCCATTATTTTTGGCCGAAAGCAATCGTATAGCTGGAGGTGCCAATGAAACTATCGAACTTGAAGGTTAAAGCACAAGACCAAAGTCTCCCCCTGGAGCAGCTGGCAATCGATGAGCATAAAGTCTTGCACATCCTTCCCGATTTCCCGCATGTCTCGGATCACACAATTGGCGACAGTGCTCCCGGTTTCCTCTGCTCCATTCTATTTTTTCTTTCTTTTTCTGTCGTTAGTTTGCTGCTATCCTTGCTGCTGCTTCGGCAAGGACGAATGCATAAAACTTTACAGGCCCTTTGCTGCGAAGTGGAAATTTTCTGCATACGCGCTTGACTAAAAATAAAATGCACTCGACAAAATCAAATCGAACAAATTGAATATGAGGGGAGGGTGGGGTGGGGTGGTAAGGCGTTGTGCTCGGAAAAGCGCAATATAAAAATAGCAGACAAATTGCACACGAGGCGTCAAGGCGATAGAGCTCTGCCCCATCTCTGACTCCTGCCTGGACTTATCCCCGCCATCTGAAGCAATTTTTTGGCAACGCAAGCGAAATGTGGCATCCCCCGCAGGATGGCCATTCGTAAGCTACCAAAGGGGTGGCAGGATGGCAGGGTGGCAGGATGGCAGGGTGGCAGGATGGCAGGGTGGCAGGATGGTGTAGTAGTAAATGGGGCTCTTGGCTGCGGGTGCTACAATGACGACAACTTTCAAGCGTTGCATGCAACGTCGTAAGCGCTGCGTTTACAGTTAGATTTATTACCTGCTAGATGTTGCACATATCGTGCCAGGCACCGTGTGTGTGTGTGTTGTGTGTTTGCTCCCCTTTTCCCCTCCCTCAGGGGGGTAGCTGCCACTAGGTGTGGGTGTGGCTTGTTCGCTTATCGTTGCCGGGTTTTGCATATGTCGCGACTGTTTTTGCCCCCGGCCCGCTGACACTTTAAGGCGTAACAAGCCAGCTACAAGCCAAGTTTCATGACCAAAGCCCAGTTTTCCAGTTACCAAGGGACGCATATGAAATGGCATTGTGTCTTCCTTAACTACAACTACACGTCATGCAATTAAAATTGGGTTAAGCGAAAGTGATGCTATCATAAGGAAGTATACATATTTTACAAACTTGATTTTATTTTGGATTAATTAGAAAGCTAATTTCGGAAAGTTTATACACCATGCGGTTTAAAATTGAAAAAAACTCTCTTTATATATCATATACCTTCTTATTTTCACAATAGAAGAATGTATACAAAATAATATATATATATTATAGAACTTAAATCTTAATAAGTTTATTTCCTATTCGAAACAATTAACATTTTCATTAACTCTAATGCCTCGTTATTTAAAATATGTTTACGTTTCATTAATTCTGGTTTCAATCAATTTAATAGTTCATATTATTGATATTTATCTTTTGCATATTTAATGTCTCAGTTATTTCATTTAAATTTGCACTTACATTTCATGGATTGGTTTCCAATTTCGCAACAGTTAATCAATATTTGATACGTCAGTGTGTGCTAGCTACGATATATTCCAAATCAAAATTGCCACACCATGCCATTTCGTTAACAAAAACAACAGGTATATCTAATGGTCTGGATAAATGAATGAGTGTGTTCGTGTTCGCCTTGTGCCCAGATGTTCCAGCACTTATACACATGCCAATTAAATTCAATTCCCAATTATCACCGGATTCGGACTCCGTTTCCAGACCCGGAATGGCGTCCTCCGATGGCTTCTCCTCCTGCGCTTAGTCCTGAACTGGTGTCGGCCTTAAGTGCTGCAGATGCATTTGGTTCGCCACTTAAACTGTCATTAAATTGTTGCAATCAACCACAGAAGCTGGACCCCCGGTCAAGCTGTCTCTGCCATATTTAATTTGTTCGGCCAACGGGCAAACAATATGTCACAAATTACAAGGAAATGCAATAAAAAGAAAGTGCTCCTGCCCCGGCTCCTGCTCTGTATCCGGAATTCACATGCGGACTCACACTCGCAGCGGGTATGTCTACCTCCAGAGTCCGACCTCCGGGCCGATGATTACTTTAGCATTCAGTGTCTGGTAATAATTTGCCCATAATTTGCACAAGCCGGCCTTCCTCTGCTGGCTCCGAGTGAAAAATGATAAAGTAAATGAAATGCAACAGACAGCAACCGAATTGCCATCGCGTGCCGCGGGCCTTTTATGGATGCAGTGCCGCCGCCAAGTAGGCAGGACCCCTTTTTTCCACCGAGAAGGGTGGCGGAAGGGATCAGGGGAAAAAAAACATGGGGAAAGCGACTCCATAAATGTAACGCATGGCGGGTCCAAAGTGAGCCTCAAGTGCTGAGAGTGCAAGCTGCGCTTTTCCTTTCATTTCGAGTCCCGGAAATCGAGGTGTGAAAGCTGCTACCAAATGGAGTTGAAGTTGAGCCTAGTGGAACTTTAAACGAGCCTACTCTTAAACAACTTTACACAAGGAAAACTTGTAACAGAAATTTAATGAATTAAAGGAAAAGAATGTCATATTTTTTGGTTTAAGAACTTAAAATTTGCATAAATTTGGTATTTAGTTCAAGTTACTAACTAAATAAATTGTCTTTTAACAATAGGAGTTGAAGACATTAAAACCATAAGAAAGTAATAAGTATCCATAGACTAATCATAAATAATTGAAGGTATTAAAACCAAAAGGAACCATAAGAATTTGAATAATAATACTAATCATTCTGTTAATATTCTGATAAATAATTCACATTCTTAGCTCAATGGTCTCCACTGTGCATCTTTAAGTTAACTTATGCCAGATCCAGGTTCAGATACATGAGTATCATAAACATATGCAATTTATTTATATTAGGTCAACAGCTCCCCGGGGGATTCGGCTGGTGGGAGAATTATGCAGAAATTACTTAAAGTTTCAAGTAGTTCGCCTTTGGGTCTTCAGGCCCAGGACCAGTGTTTCAACTAAAGCGTTTTGCTTTGGCAAACAGGACTTTCTTTGCTTTTCCAGCTTTCCCTGCTGCCGCTTTTCCTTCCCATTTCCCCTTGTTTCCCTCGTTCTCTGTTTACGCCTAAGCGCTTTAAACACACCACTGGGACTTTCTCGCCCTCACACAGACGTACGCATAAACACATGCTCAAACGTCAATAAAAATCAGCCACACACACACACTCATAGACAGAGAGACAAGAGGACAAACAGGACCTCGGAGCGGGTGTTAGTATTGGTGTTACTCTTGGTGTTGGGGTTTCTGTTGGTGTTGCCGGCTTTCACACATGGAAATGTTTGCAGACGCCAGCAAAACAACCAAGGCAACGACCAGAGCCAGCCAGGAATGGCAGCGCAAAGGAGTTTTGTGGAAAAGCTGCTTATGGAAAAATACAAGCAGAAAAAAATAACTAAAAGACACACAATCATACACCCTCACACCCACACACTCACCACATTGAGTCGCACACACAGAGACAGACAAATAAATTTTGAACCCGGTGCAAAGCAATTTGCGCATTTCCGTTGTAAAAATAAAAGGGTTCACTTCTCGTTAAAAACAAAACGAAAAAGGTCCAGGATGGACCGAAAGTGAAGGACCAACCGCCGGGCCATATTTCATAGTTATGACAAAGTTCGTTCAATGCAATGAAGTTCGACTGCGGCGTTACGGTTTATGGGGTCAAAGTTATTTTCTTTTTTTTTCTGTTGATCCCATTTGTGTCCTCGTTGGTAAAATGGCATATGTAAGAAGGAAATCGAACAGTCTGTTAATTTAAGGATATTGTATCTGACACAAAGGTGTTTACTTTTGATTACTCATTAGAGTGGTTTGGGGAATTTGACTTTAAAGAGAGTAGTTTATATTAGCTTTAATCTCACTGTTAAGGATCTTTCAATTAAAAATTGTTGCACAGATGATGCCCACGGCCTTTACATTTATGATTAAATGACGAATTTTCTTTATGAAAAAAAAACGACATTAAAAAGCAAGCTGATTTTTAGCTTGACTATAAAAAAAGGTTGATATGCATTAAGTATATTTAAATAATTAGTATTTATTTTTATTAAAAAGTACTTAATATTTGTTTTATGAAAACATGTATTTTCGCACATTGAATTAAGGAACTTAATTCCTTAATTCTTTAAAATCAACTATATTAGTTTGATTTTATTTAGGGCACTCTAATATAAAACCAAATTAATTAAAATACATTTCCATCTGCTCCTTAACCTTTACAAATCTAAGAGCAAAATAGAACTTGTATTGTAATTGTATTTCATTCAAAATTGTATTCAATTTGTTCTCAAGCCACTGTCGGTATCAATTCAAATACCTCAACTAACTAGTATCCTTTTGGATGTGTATTTTTTGGGCGGTCCAAAGGCTGCAACCGAAATAGTCCCGCAAACAATTGTTTGCAATCCACCTAATGACCAATGGCCTGGCCACGTCAAAGTCAAACAGGGCCAAAACGGGGAGAGGGGTGGCAGAAATAAAAAAACAAAAACATATAGAAGAAGAATCGACCAGATCCATTCCGAACCGAGCCGAACCGAACCCAGCACGCAAACAAATGTCCAATGAAACAGATTGCCGGCCAAACAAACAGCCGAAAAAGGAAGACGACTCGGCACAAAAAAAATACAAACTGCACGATAAATTGATGGCAAAAACAATACACAGCCTTTGCACCACCTCCTCCGCACTCTCTGAACCCCAGTCCGATCCCCGTGTGTCCTTGCGTAAGGATACACACATACATATATGAAACCTCCCACAAGTTGTGCCCGCTGTTTGGAATGCATGGCGCAAGGGTTTAACGCACTTAAGCAATAAAAATCGAAACAATTTTCGATGCTGCCAAGTGAAATTGAAACAAAATACCAGCAAGGACGAGGATGAGCCAGGATACTCTCGCTTTTCCCGCCGGACGGAGCTGGAGCTGGGGGTGGGGGTTGGAAACTGTATAAGTGAGAATGTTATAAATAAGTGGGGCAGGCAAAGTTGTGTCCCTTTTATATGCAATACTTTCTGCTCTGCCAGTTGACAAACAGTTCGGGTTTTGTGTATCCTGTATCCTGGGCCCACTGTCCTTGCCCGTTTTATCTCTTTCGCATTGTCGCCTGGCTACAAATGGTGGCCATAAACGCATCCTGTGTCTATTGTTTATGCTCGTTGGCGTGTGGCAAGCGCATAATTGAAAAAGGACATTCAGCTGATGACAGTCAAGTCCCGGCAATATGAAGGGCACATCATAAAGTGGCATGTGGCAGTTGATTAAGTCAGCGAATAAAAACAAAGAACCCACAAAGGAACCGTAAATATTTCAATCAATCATTGATGGCTCTCAGTCCCTCTTCAGAGTAAACCTAAAAAAGAAAGGATGTCCATTTTCAAATGGATATGCACTTGTCATTTCACCTTTAACAATATTCGATTTCAGGCTATCAGAGGGAATCACTTAATCATTTGTTAAAATTTTCTCTTTGTGTATTTCCAGGATCCGATCACAGTGCCACCTATCGCTCGGATGGCAAGAGTCCGCATCTTACGAAACACGATGCCAAGTCCTTGACGGACGATCTGGATCGCATGCAGGACCTCAAAGGATGGGCCCATCATTTGGCTCCCTTTACACCGATATTTGGTTTACCATTTATCCTGGCTGCTGGTTACCTGGGGGCGTGGCAGGAGTAGACTCTTGGTGTAGAATTGTACAAACAATAAAGTGAAGGGACAACCGCGCGGCGACAGAATCACAAAAAAAACCAAAGTTAGGATACACTAATTCGTAAGCAATACCCCTATAAATCGTGTTGGTCGAAAAAACAAACTTTTATTTTTGTGCTGAGTGGAAGGAAAGTTGCTTACTGTAAAAAGTTGTTGATGTTTAAGGTAATCTAGCATTTAAGTGGCAGGCGGAGAATAAAATATTGTGGGTTCTGTAAACGCAACGGAAATACAAAGTATTAGAATGTAAAACATAAGGGTTTAATAATAATAATATTAATACAAATAATGATGTTCTTAAGCCTACCAACTGAGACTCGGGCCGAGGTTAGATCTAAGCCACCGGGGTCAGCCGATGCCATCACTCTTACTTTTAGCCCCGTTCTAGCTTAGTTCCCAAGCACTGCAAGCTGTATGATAAATATTACATAAACAATGTCATCTTGATTTACAAAAAAAAACGAAATAAAAAATGCCGTCTTAAAACATGTAAACTCCAAATAAATATTGCAGTTTTATTGCTAGACTTTGAAGAGGGATTGTGAAGGTTGAGGTAAGAGAATAAATAATCAAGGAGACACGTTATTTAAAAGTAAATTAAAATTGATTCTATCAGCTGTCTAATAATATAAATACATAAATTAAGTGATGGAAAACCTATACTTTTTCTACAAAACATACAAGTAGGTAAACAAATATTTATGCTTTGAAAGAATCTAAGGATATGCATACCAAACACTAAGGTACTCTTAGAAGACCTTTCTTGTTGGTTGTTTTTATTCCTTTTTTTTTTGTTTTTGTTTTGCAACAGCCCCTGAAGCGAATATTTACTGAACCGCAAAATGTACTCTTACCGAACCACCATCACCCGCTGCCATTGTTTACTTTACCGGCGAATTTGTGCGCCATCGGCGGCCCACATGAAAACATTTTTCATTTTCATTAAAAAAGTGAGCGCAACAAAAAACCCGCGCGACTTTATAATTTAATTTGAAAAGCGCAGGACTCGCGAAAAGCAGAGCAGAGTAGAGCGCAGTGAGAACACACAAAAAATAATTATTAAAATAAATTAAATGTCTGCCGCTGCCCTCATAAACTTCACCGAGTGGGCAATTAAAGGAGTCGTGGAGGATGGCAGGAGCGCGGAACGTGGCTAGTTTTTTTCCTCACGAGGTGAAGAGTTAAGCGGCAGAGTAACTAACTAAAAAAAAAAGGAAAATGCGGGCAAAAAAATCAAATTGCTGCCATGGCATTTTGACTCGAGTTTCACACAACGCCATGGCAAATGGCAAAAAATTGGCATGTGAAACGATTGCAGGACCTCCGCCCCCTTTGCAGCAGGACCTCCCATCAGCCCACCATTGCCACCATAAAGGGGCCAGTTAATAAAGCCAACAGGGCATGTGCTATATGTCAAAAAAAGGATATATATACGAATATGGGATGGTAAGAGGAGCAAAGAAAGAAATTTTCTGGAGACAGAATGGGACCACAATGGAGGAAAAACGCTGACCAAAAGGAAATGATTGGAAAGGAGCTGCCCTATCGTGCATCCTTTGAAGGAGTCATCTAAAGACGAGTTGATATATGTATGACCGGTGCAAAAATAAATTTTCAAAAATTTTTCCGTGTTTTCAAAAAACGATAAAGGGTTACATCGTTAAAAATGTCGAAAATTTACAAAAACCTTGATTTTTTTAAATTTGTAAATTAAGTATTCCGATTTATAACGTAATAAAAACGAACACAGAACAGCTTTTCGAATTGAAATTAAGGCATTTTTAGCTAGTTATGATCAAATACTATTTACACCAGGGCGTATACGTAATATTTTATTGCTATAAATGTTTTACTTCAAGTTTGATAAAAAGTCGTTGAAAGCTATCCAGTAGCCAAAAAGTAAATATTTGCGGTTCAGGCCGATCTTCCGATCTAAATTCAGAAGAAAAGCAATGTATTGTCATTTATACCAGAGTCACAAAAATTACGTATACGCACTGGTGTATTCAAATGTTAAGGAAAATCTAAGTTCCCTGTAATTTTCATTGAAATTAATAAAAATTTTGACTGAAGGTTGTGCTTAAAAGATATAGACTCAGCTCTTGAGATATCAAAAACAGAAAGTAATTTTTTTTTGCAGTTTATTATACCCTTACTGGGTATTATAATATTAGTCCTAAGCTCATAAACCAGGGAATGAATCATTTCCGAACCTATAAATTATATATATTCTTGATCAGAATCAACAGCCGAGTCGATCCTATAATTATTTGCAAACTGCAAGGGTATAGCTTCGTCTTCCTTTCTTGTTAATACATAACATTATCATTATAAGTGTCTCAATTATGAATTTTTTGTTTAAAAATGTATCATGTTCAAATAAATAAAGATTATCTACAAATAGTTATGCCTTAAATGGGTGGACAAGAGTTACAATCCACCCATTTACGGCATAATTAAATTATTGCAATGATTCTTTTTCAGTACTTCACATTTAAAGCAGGTGAAAATTTTAAATTGTGTACTTGCTTTGCATATTTAATGCTTTTGAATATTTCATGGACTTTGACAAATTTATATTATTTTATCAATATAATTGATAATGTCAATTTGCGCTGTAATCAAATATGGCCACAGAGATTCATCGTTTGGAGTTTGTTTTTGCTGCTGAAATTGTATCTATTGTCGGCGGTTGTTTTTCTATATATACATATATATTTTTATATTTATTTGGCACGCCTGACATTGATCGGTTTAATGATGCAAAACCGCAATAAATGTTTCAACATTAATATTTGACGGCATATTAAATGGCCGAAAGTGCAAACTTTTGGCATCAAAAGTTAAAGCCTTTCCTCTGTTGAAGAATATTCATTGGTAAGTTTTTGTTTCACTCTGTCCGACGTCTTCCTTTGTGAGCCAGCACAGGACTCTTCTTTTTCTCGCTTTGATATGCTATGCTTTTTGTCCAGCCCTCTTCCGTATGCAGTGCGTTTTCCTCGTCCTTTTTCCCATCCTCTTTCCAGCCATCTTGGCTTTATTTCAGGACTCTTCCTTGGCGCTGCTAAAGAGCCGCCGTAATTATGAGTGGCCGCGGGACAAGGCAAATATTGGCCAATCAAATAATTCTTATTTACTCAAAGCTGAAATGGAAAGCGTTGCTAATATGTATTTCGTTAGCCGTCTTTTGGCGGAAAATCCTGATTTTCTTTTAAATAAAAATACTTTCCCTTAGCTGAGACTCCAACCTGGTAAGTTTTCGAAAAGCTAAGCCTGGACCAAGCAAGCTTTTTCGAAGTAAACGTAAGGGAGTAGAATTAATTGCAGAAAATTTGTGAAATGGAGGATTTGGGTAATATTTGGGCGTAAAATTAATAGGTAAAATTGTAAAAAATAAATAATAATAATATAAACAATAATAATAACATAAATAACAATAATAAAATTAATAATAATATTAATAAGAAGGAGGCTAACTTCAGCAGGAATCGGATCTTTGGCAATTATTCGCTTTTATCTTTATCTAAAATATACGCATTGTATAAACCTCAAATTTATATTTCATAGGATAATTTTATTAAAATTATCATAATAATAATGTTATCATAAATATCATTTCATTTCGGAAAGCTGCTTTATGCCAATTTTATTAACTTAACAAATCTGATATTACATTTAATGATTTTTAAAACTAACATTTTTCCGAATTTCAGACAATTTCCGACCCCTTATAAAATTTCGAAAATCTCATAGGTATTAACCAGATTTATGAAAGTTTAAGTGCAACACAGATAAGAGATTTGTTTCTTAAAAAGAACACTAACTTAATATAGTTGAGGTCATATAAAAAATTAGTCATAAGTATGTTTTACACCCAAGAGACAAGCAAACAATACAAAGCTCCATATTGTACTTTGCCCGTCAGAATTTATCTGTGTACCGAGTTTGTTAATTTTCTCACTTTATTGTCAGAATTATGATTTCTGACATCCAAAAACAATGACACGCATAATCTTTAAAGAGCAAACCAGCAGGAGAGTTTGCAGAGCTCATTATTACCAGCTGCAAGATTCGTATTAAAAGATACAAGTAGATAAGGAAAAGTAAGATTTTCCAGAGATTGAGAGCCAGTTATAAGAACTTTGCGGAACGGAGTCAGCCTCAGTCGCACCGTGCCTTTCGATGGACTTCGTTCTAATAGTGCTCACTTCGATACTCAGCTTCCTGCTGGGTTATCTTCGATATAGCTTTCAATACTGGGAGCAGCGAGCAATACCCCAGCTGAAGACGCACTTCCTATTGGACATATAGCCAAGCTGCGATCCGTGCACCTGGGCGAACTCCTTCAGGAAACCTACGATGCCTTCAAGGGAAGCGCCCTGGTGCTGGCACCTATGTCTACCTACAGCCTGTGGCAGTGATCCTGGACTTGGAGTTGGTCAAATCGGTACTCATTAGGGACTTTGGCAAATTCGCAGATCGGAGGAGCTTCCATGGCGATCCGCTCACCGCAAATCTATTCAACATGCAGGGCGAGGAGTGGCGTTCCCTTCGCACCAAACTCACACCCACTTTTACCAGCGGAAAGATGAAGTATATGTTTGAAACCATCACTGCGGTGGCCCAGCAGCTGGGCGAAACCTCTGAGGAATTGGTGGGTTCAAAGGGCGCCGTTCTGGAGTTGCACGATCTACTGGGTCGCTATACCACCGATGTCATTGGAAACTGTGCCTTTGGCACAAAGTGTAACAGCCTAAAGATCCCCAGGCAGAGTTCCGGAAGGTGGGTCGAAAACTATTCCAAAATAGTGGCAGAAGCATCCGCTGGCGCATCTTCAAGTCCACATACTTCACCTCACTGACCAAGTGGGACTGCCAGTGCGGATCTTTAGCCCGGAGGTTGCCGATTTCTTCATGCGCATTGTTCACGAAACTGTCGAGCTGAGGGAGCGTGAGAAGATCAGAAGGAACGACTTCATGGATCTACTGCTAGGTCTTCGCGCCAGGAGAACGGCAAGGATTAACCGTGGAGCAATGGCTGCCCAGGCTTTTGTATTTTTCGTTGCCGGATTCGAGACCAGTTCGAGCAACATGAGTTACGCGCTATACGAGCTGGCCAAGAACGGGGAAGTGCAGGAAAAGCTGCGCGGAGATACGAGAGGTAATCGCCAGACATGGACAACTGACCTATGAGGCCATGATGGAGATGACCTACTTGGACCAGACAATCACAGGTATGATGAGTTTCACTTTGAGATAAGAATAAGATGCCAGTCACTGGTACGGTGAATCATTTAAAGGAGATAAGAATTTTTATCAGGCTAAACGGTCAATGAACATCAGTCAGCGAGAGGGAAAGTTAAGTAGAGAGTGAAAGTCATTTGGAAGTAAAATTATATAATCTAATTGTAAAAACAAATGCTAAATATTTACTTTTGTGTATAGATATGTTATCTTTATAAATATTTCATATACCTAAAGACAAATATGATTATTTTGAGCTTTCAGTACACTGACACCCCAAATGATCATAGTGTTGTCCGCGTAGATTTATTCAGAGATTATTCTAAGAGACCTCTATCTTAATTAAATAATACCAAGTACTAAATGCTGATTCATGATATAACAACCTGAATTCCATTTCAGAAACCCTTCGCAAGTACCCAGCCTTGGCCTCCCTGACCCGTATTGCCTCCGAGACTATGAGATACCGGCTCGCGATGGTGGCGAGTCTGTTGTCCTGGAAAAGGGCACCAATATACACATACCCGTGCGGGCCATACACTATGACCCGGACATCTATCCGGAGCCCAACGAGTTCCGGCCCGAGCGCTTTGAACCGGCTGCCTGCCAGGAGCGACCGGCGGTTGCCTTCCTGGGCTTTGGTGATGGGCCGCGCAATTGCATCGGGCTGCGCTTCGGGCGGATGCAGGTGAAGGTGGGCCTGATCACGCTACTGCTGCGCTTCCGTTTCCGCCTGCCGTCTGGATCACCCGATAGGCTGATGGTCTCACGGCGTACCATGATACTCATGCCCGACAAGGGTGTTCGGTTGCAAGTCGATCGGCTGGCGACGGACCAGTGTCGCGCCTAATGTAAACACACCAGTCCGAGAATAAACAAAGCCGGCTGCTGTTCGTCAGCAGAAATTCAATTAAATTCGCCCGTTCTGTGGTCGATTGAAAGCCAAACCGAAATTTATAGCCGCCGCAAAGGCCCCCACCGTTTCCCCTCCATTTCCCCTAGGCAACAGCTCAGTTATCCCAGAAGCCGACACCATGGGCATTAAATCAACACACAAACGGGGGGAGGGGGGAGGGAACCTGGCCATGTGAGCTAACCGAAAGCCATTGCGGTTCAGCTTGATGCACTCTGCTGCTCCTTTTGGCCAACACCCCACATCAGGCTACCCACTTGAGCGGCAACTCTTCGTCCTCCCCGCCCGTGTCCTGCCGACAGAGTTTCCTCGCACAAATCCAAACATTTACAATATTTTGCTAATTAGCAAAATATGTGTGAATAATGCATGTGACAAAAAGGGGCGGGGCGGGTCGGTGTGTCTGCATCCTGTAGGTGTCATATTAAATTTATGGCCAGAGCTGCGCACACAATCGGTAGGCAAGGAGCCACTGTGACAAGTGGCAGGAGTGGACACTGGGACAGTCTCAACATTTTGGCCATTTCGGTGATTAGTGTGGCAAGCAAAGGCGTCCACTGTCGGCATAATGAGCGATATTAATCAATAAATGCAACAGGAGCGGAAGTGAACTGACAGATTTATGTCTGGAGGCAGCCAGTGGGAGGGGCTTTAAGCAGAAAACAATAAACTGAGATAACCCAAAGTTGCATAATTTAAATAGAAGGAGTTACTTACTATACCTTAATTATATTCCAGCCTCAGTTGGGCATTTTAAATTTTTATTTAATTAGTACAAAATATTCTTAATCACAGAGAAAAAAGCTGAAATATGTTGAACCCTAATTAAAGTATAATGAGTAGCTTACTATCCTTAATTTTATTCTTGTTGACTTGGGCCACACCTTATATTTATTTTTTAGGATCTTGACTTTAATTATTACACAATATACTTTATCACAGATAAAAAAATTTTGTCACAAATTGAGATAACCCAAAGCCACATAAGTTAAACCCCAATTAAAGTAGAAGGGTAGCTTACTTACCATAATTTTATTAAAGCCTTACTTGGGCCTCATTAAATAGACCCTTAAAGGATCTTGACTGTAACTATTTACAATTTAATTAATCACAGGAAAAAAAGACTTTGGCACTGCTATTTTAGTTTTTTCCGAATGAATGACTGGATAGCTCTAAGTGACAACTTCAACTGATTGAAGGCTGTGAGTCTTCAGAGCTCGATCGGTCTTTAAAGTGCGTGTTACGTAATTTATTGGAAATAATCGAAAGAGAATCAATAAAGAGAATAACGGGAGAGAGAAGAGAGAGCTTTAGGACTGGAAAGCAAAGCTAGGTACTCCAATTGTTTATAATTGCGGAATATTTCATGATTGCAGAACGAAGAAGCTATGCCCTTAGAATAGGGAGTTTAAGACTAATCAAAGAATAAAATAATTTCACATTTCACATACTTTTAACAAATTGTGTAGGTATTTTAAATATTACGAGTATTTAATAGCAGTTATGAAGTTGTCAATATTTTTGCATATTTGTTTAAATAAATTACCCCATAGTCCCCTACCTCCCCTACCCCTTTTATCTTCTTTAAAGATAATACTCAATTGAATCAGCAAAAAGTAGCTTGGCTAATGTTCAATTATAAGTATTTATAAGTCTTTGATGTTGTCCTTTACTGTGTTAATGTCTTAATTTAAGCATATAACAGAAACCTGCATAGATTTCTCCCTATAATCATACGCTTTTATAGACTTTTAATTGGCAATTTCCTAAGCTGGCTGGCAACCTTTACGCTTCGTCTATAACTCACCCAGAACTTTTGTCTATTAAACGGCGCCGAAAATGTAGTCATAATTTATGGCAGTTAAGCAGCTAACAAACTATCCTGCAGATACCAGGTTCCAGCTCCGCTTCCTTCGGAGGAGCTTTGCATGTTCACTCACTATCAGCGGGGAGGGAAGGGGAAGGTGTGTGTGTACTATGCGATGTCCTTGGGGGTGGGATGAAGGTGAAAGGAGCTATGCAGCTGTCGTCGTCGCATCCAGCACAGAACGCGGAAGCGAGTGAAAAGCAATTATCAGGTGTCAAAATTTATATTAGGGTGCCCCCTAGGCCAAATAAGGGAATCCAACAAGGAAGCCATGCCAAAAGGAGCGAAGCAAGAACTTGAAAATAACTTCCAAGTCCTGCCAGTCCTTGTGCACTACGCGAAATAATATTATTAGTTTCAGGTTACAATTTTAAGAGAATTACAATGGATTCTTAGAGTTATTTAAAGAATACGTTAAGCTTTAATGAAGTTATATGAATGTTTTACTTGAAATCATCCTAAAAACATTTAAGATATTTCGCTTTTAAATATAGGTATACTTCAGTACATTACCTATAAAAAATACTATTAAGTATTCTATAGATTTATTGATTTTTTATTAAAGAAATGACGTTGGTATATTACTGTTTAATTTCAATACAAAAATCCTTCTCTTTATCAACTTGTAACTTCCACAAGTTACTTTTTGAACCTCTAACCCTGTCACAAATTACTTTATTGCACCTATAACCTTAAGCCAAAATTTCTGAAAATCAGCATCAGCATTAGTTTTATGATTAATTTTATATCTTTGCCTTGAAACTCAACGAATTCCTTTCCCCTGTGTAGGACTAACCCTTTCAGTATAAATGATTTGTGGCTCCAGTGCATTGCACGCAATGCAAACTTTCTGACGAAGTAATGGCGGGCGAGGAGGCGAGCGGGGGGCAGATAGAGGACGCGGATATCCTTTTCAACATTTTTCGCTTTATAACAATCTTTTTATGTAGCATAAAAATCTGTTATTGGTGTGTTGTTGGTCGTCTGCCGGCGCCATTATTTATTGGCCGTGTGCGTGTGTTGTGTGAAAATCATGAAAATGATAGGCCGCCATGGCGTTGGTTCATAGGGAGGAGTAGGGAAAGGAGGTGGTAAAAAGGACCTTCCCCCGCCGGTTGATTAGCTCCCGAAAAGCAGCTGATATATGCGAGCAATTAGGTGGCAACGGGAGGGGGACTCGACCGAAATCGGTGCCTAACACAATCTGGCACGGTTATTGAAAACCGACTTTGCTGTGTGCGTGTGCATGGGGTTATCCTTTGGGATGGCGTCCTTTCCGCCCTCAACTTATGTCTCGGAGGAAAAGTTTCACGGGACAGTGAAATTCAATTAAATGATAAATACTGCAGAACAAGTTGCGAGCGCACTTGAAACGACGGCAGCAATTTCAAGCTATTAATCCTGGAGAAGGGTACCTTAAAAGTAAACCTGGAAAGGATATACATAGTTTTTAATTTAAAGGTATTTAAGGAAAATTAACTTTATATATTTGGCTCAGAAAAATATATTGTCTGACCAGAAAGTTCAACAAATCTCTCTATAAATTATACTATTAAACTTTATAGAACTTGCCAAGTAATTCTTTGCAAAACAATATCCTTTGTTTAATTTTAAATAAAATTAAAACATATAAATTTGTATTTATTTTCTAAATTTACGTTTTAATTTACATATTTACCTGTAAATTGTACAATCAATTAAACAAAATTAAGAATTAAATAGGATTCAAAAGAAAATCATATCGTGATAATTATAATCTAGACTACAAAAACTTTGATTTAATATTCATATCATGTTGTTGCCTATCAACAGAATGTCAAAAATTAAACACGTTAAAGTAAATAAACTAATTAAAAAAGAATGTATACGTTTCAACTATTAATTAAAAGTGAAAAAACTTTTTCTTGCACTTTATTCATGGGTTGCTTTTCTGATAAGTGTAATTAATTAATTGTCTCTAAAGAATTAATTGAACATAAGACTAAAGGTGTTACAAGGTACAATAATATAACCAAATTACTGTTTGAAATCAATAAATTAACTAATTATTTATTTATAAAAATGAAGCAATTACAATGCTTTGGTTTTCATATAAATTTGAGTAAATATCAGCCATTAAATGGACAAACTTTATATTCATGTTGTTTATTGACCAATATAATCCATATTTCCCGCTTTACGCTTGTAATAAATTTGTAATAATATTTGTTTAACCATTAGATTTGCAATATATTTATAATGTTTTTAATACCTTTTCAATGGCCCCACATCTAAATAAAAGCGTACAATAAACCCTGTTTTCCGGAGTCCAATGCCATGACCAATGACAATCCATTTATCCATCGCACGCACCCAACAACTATCGTCCCCTTTCCGGCGGCGGAGTCAACCCTTTGCTACGTCACAGAATTCATTCATAAAATCAGGAAACAAGTTCCACGAGCCCAAAAGTATACAGAGAGGATTTCCCCGAGCTTCAACCGTCAGAGCTTGCTTTCAACCGGCCTTTCAACCGGTGAAGAGAGCTCTTCAATCGTGGTGAGTTTTCCACTGCACACCCCCCATTGGGCAACACACACACACTGCGACACACACACGCAGCTTAGAAAAAAAGAAGCACAACAAAGTGAAAAGCGCCCGCCAACAAAAAGCAAAATAAAATGTGGCCCGGCAACAACAAAAATCACAGTTGTCTGATTCGTTCGCGACGCAGCTGCCCGCCGCCCACCCGCCTCCTTGGCCACCCATTGACACCACGAAAAAGAGCCACCCACACACACACACATACAAGTACACTACTACACACTCACCCCAAAAACGATGATGATTCGCCCCCAAAGAGCATCTTCGGCTGAGCTCGTTTGTCGTATTTATTCGTGCCCCCAGCTGGTGAGGGGCTCCAGCCATCGAAGGCCTCGGTTCTCAGACCTCAGTCCTTCGTCAGCCTCGTTTCGTGCGGTTGTGTCGTCCTGCCGATCCTGCCACAAAATACTGAACACATTTGCTAAGCCTAGTCGCGAGTGCTTTTGCCGCCAAGTGTTGCATTCGTGCTGCAAGTGAATTAAATGAT